ACTACAATTGCAATAAAGTAATATTTTTATACGTAATATTTTAATTACAGTTATTAGGCTCATTCAAAATCGGCCCGAAAAAAGAGGAGCTTCTTACTACAAAACATCGTGTCGTGAATAAAATCATCTGGCTGATCAGCACCTCGCGAAACGCAATTTTAGTAGTAATTTGTGGTTTAATAGGCTGGAGCTTTTCGAGCGAGCCATGTTTCCAATTGATCGGTATGAGATACAAATAAAATCTCTTTTTTTTTTTAAAACTGGATAATCGGAAAACAAATTTTAGAATTTTTATTAAAAGTTTGTAAGTTCGTTTTTTTTTTTAATTTAAAAAATAACTACAATCATGTTTAAATTGCACACAATATAAATAAATGCAAAATTTTATTTTAAACTGCACCAAGAATCTGTAAAAATTCTGATTATTAATTATAGTGACATGAAATATTACATAAAATTTGTTTTAGTTACATATATTTTATTGTAAAAAAAATACATTATATTATTAATTATATCGTGATATAAAAGAATGCCCTACAGAATGTTTCAAAAATAAAGCACACTAAAATTTCTCACTTTAGGTTACATACCGGGAGGTATACCTACTGTACAAATTCCACCATTTGGATTTACCAATGGCAACACGACAGTCACGTTTATTGAGATGCTCGGTAATCTGGGCAGTGGACTCATCGTTATACCACTCATCTCTCTAATGGAAGATATCGCTATCTGCAAGGCTTTCGGTAAGAGTATTTTATCTTAGAAAACAGGATACATATCATTCTCTGCTGTATTTCTATATTAAGAATTGATCTGACTTTGATTCAAGGACCAAGTTAAAATCTTCTCAACATGATCGAATTTCTTAGTTGAACTTATTATAATATAACACATTTAGAAGCCTATCGTATATTTAATAAGAACAGTTATTTACGGAATTTATGCGTTTTTTATAGCCAATGGAAAATCAGTGAACGCTACGCAGGAGCTGATAGCGATTGGTATAACGAATATTGGAAATTCCTTCATACAAGCTTTCCCAAGCACAGGATCCCTTAGCAGGAGCGCAGTAAACAACGCTTCTGGCGTTAGAACACCATTTGGCGGTATTTACACTGGTGAGGTTTTATTTATAATTTTTGCAAATTATTATATCTATTTATCCTTTGCCGAAGACGTAAAGTTAAAAGCGGTCAAAAATAGGAGAATAACTTTTTTTAATTATTTTTTTTATATAGAGATTACTTGCGTATCTTCGCTGAATACATAGTATATTTCAATAATATACATGGAAAGAACGATTTCGCTGAAATATCTAAAAATTTAGATACAGATCACAAAATAGTTTTATTTAGACCATTAAAATAATTTTAAGTTAATAAATAATTTCATGTTAATATAAATAATTTTAAATTAATATTAAAATGTAAGATATCTAAACTGCTAGTATTAATTTTTTAGCATTGTCATCAAGTTTAAGCGTTTCATAATATTTTGATAATTCAACAAAATTATTTTCAGATCTAGCTAAATTTTTGAATATTTTCCATTCTTCCCGCCGCAAAACCATTCTTCTCGCGTGTATATTTCCACAATGCTCAAATCGTATCTATATTTCCACAGTGTTCAAATCACATTTCGCTTAAATTTACCGATCGATCAATATTACAGAAGGAGCTGTAATTATGATACAACATTTATATATATGTATGTGTGTGTGTTTCAGGTTTATTGGTAATTTTAGCTCTGTTATTCCTCACCCCGTACTTCAGTTTCATTCCACGTGCCACTTTGGCGGCGATCATTATCGCTGCAGTGATCTTCATGGTCGAAGTCAAAGTGGTGAAGCCTATGTGGAGGACGAAAAGTAAGAGCACATGTTTTTCATTCATTAGTATACAAATATATTTATTTCAATACGCCATCGAAATTAACCATCTCTCTTCTGTGTCGCAGAATCGGATCTCATCCCGGGGGTAGGCACGTTTATCGCGTGTTTGTTACTACAATTGGAGATCGGTATCCTCTGCGGAATCGGAATAAATATTCTCTTTATTCTGTATCACGCTGCCAGACCGAAAATATCTGTAGAGAAGCTTAAGGTAATTATTAATTTTTACTTAAAAATACAAAACCAGTCATGCACGATCTATTTTAACTCTTCAATTCATTCCATTCTTGATTCAAGCTCGCACGCACTCTTTACGGATTTGGGCGATATATTTTATAATGTTCGTTCCCATTTTTTTCTTTTATTCAACAGACTCATCACGGTGTCGAGTATCTAATGCTGACACCGGATCGTTGCTTGATATTTCCCTCAGTGGATTATGTCCGCAATTTGGTGACCAAGTACAGCCGACGCGCCGAGAGCGTCGCGACGCCTGTGGTGATTGACTGTTCGCATATTTACGGTGCAGACTTCACAGCTGCCACGGTCATTGAGATCCTGACAAAGGATTTCGCCAAAAGAGGCCAGCCACTGTTCTTCTACAACCTGAAACCGTCGGTGAACGCTGTATTCGAAGGCGTCGAGCCTAAGGACTTTATTGTCTACTATAATCAGGAAACGTTAGACGACCTGCTGAAGGAGAAGGGCTATACGAAGCAAATTCAGTAGAAGCCCCATGAAACAGTCAAGATATCGTGATTCCGATCGTGAAAGATACATCTGTACTTTCATTGAGTGCTTCTCGAGGCTGTTATTCGGACTTATAGCCGACTACCAAAAATATACGAGAGACTTTCGATGTCCCAATTCTTAATGCAGACTGGACTGCAAGGCAGACCGTAAATCTTTTTAAATCAAATCGCCATGAAAGCGAAATTTTTAAAGCAAATTATGTATTTGTTCCCGAAAATCTTTAGAATGAAATCTAATTCTAAAGAATGAAATCTCACTCTCAAAAATTAATAATTGAACCACTTTTTTTTTTAACATTGGCTCAATTGTCACTTTTTGGCACTTTTTAATAGAATTAGATTCCATTCCAAAGATCAATCTTTGATTCTCTAAAATTTTAGAGTACACATCGTCGTTCATTCAACAGTATTTCGCTTGAAATTCCAAGCGATAGCGACAATAAAAAACGTTGACCTAACGACAATGCCTAAAAGTTCAAAAGCGCAGCTTTAATATATAGCTCATTTAAATGAAATAATTTTGATTTCGATTTATAATGGAATCAGTCAAGAAAAAGATCGGAATCTTTCAAGTATATACGTCGGTATGAGTATATACTAATGCTGTCGTTATATATCTTGGAGAAAGAGAGATGTTATACGTAGGAAAATCAACTTGGAAATATTCTATGCGATAAGATACTACAGAAATTCCAGAAGCAAACGTCTGAACGTCAGACTACGAACGCCTGAAAAATTAAATGTCGCTTAGAAGGCGCCTTTTAGATATCTTAAATATCTCATAGATTCTTAATGAAATTCTTGTCTCGTCTAAGTATTTATTTAACTTCGCGCTGAAGTAGAAAAACATCTGTGTGACGTTATCAAATCCATATCACTCAGCATTTTCTCATATTTAAACCCTTTCACTTTATTTGAAATTCACAAAGAAAGTTTCCATTATACATTTTTATACCTGCTGCTTCATACAAAATAGCATCTTCTACATTCTAGGAGCGCGTGTACATATGATATAATAAGTTTGAACGATACTGTGATAATTTTATAAACAATATGTCTGGTGGACAATCCAGCGCGGCGGAGAGATATTCATACGGCGTATGTGAATATTGTAGATCTCTCTCGTAGAATTTTTAAAAACGTTTCTGCATTGACGGTGCGTGATTCATAGTCCACACGCGTCGACAAAAAGTTTGCAAAGCGTAACCAATTTACGATTATTTTCGATCGATACGCGAGAGAATTGTTTTTTTCCATTATATTTCCGTATATGTTTAAAAAGATTTTTAAAAAATATTATAAAATATAAAAATAATTAACCATATATATGTTATAATAATAATCATAAAAATAATTTTGTTATTATAAAACTATAACGATATCATAATAATCAAGAGAGCTCACAATTTGATTTTATGTAAATTATACATTTTAAACTATGCGGTAATATAATAACAAAAGCAAAAGTTGTTGTGTTCTTTTTAAGCTTCACTCAATAGACTTATAAGTGATTCAGCAACGTATAAATCTATTGCAATTAATAGTTTGTTTTATATTACATACATATAATATGTATGTATATATATATATATATATTTATATATGTCAATTAATATAATTATATAATTATAAGTATATAGTCGTGTATTAATTTTCTTTGTCATTTTCAACTCCTAGCATGAAAAAACGCAATTAGTTTCGAAACAATCTTTGCAAGATTAGTAATGCGTTGCATATTTTTTGCGCAAAAATAACACAATAATTAAATAGTCGCAAAAAAACGCATAAGATAATATACTAAGATAAAAATCATATCAAAAAGCCTAAATTAATATTCTCAAAGTATTCAAAAATGATCTGAAAAGCATTATTATGCAAAATCACCCTCTTGTTTCCACCCCATATATATTCGGCACCCCTTATATGCGTGTAGCGTATATACTCGTCTCTCGACACTACGGATAATGATGTATCGATGACGAGATGAATCGGTCCATCGAAGGTCACTCTCATTAACCTGATCGTTCATCGACAGATATATCTTATCCCTATACACCGCATTATATAGGGCGATGGTCTCCCTTCTCCCAGCCGGCCGAGCGTTATCGATTGTTACGAACACCGTCGTCAGAACCGTAGCCGAGAATCGCGGCGCCTACAGCGAATTAATTTCAATCCGTCTGTTTCAGCAGAAAAAGTAAAAAAAAAAATTCTCGGATTATAATTTTTAGAAAAAAAGAGAGAGAGAGGAACCAAAATCCATCCGCAAAGTTTTAGGAAAAGCAAACGTATGATAGCAAACGTAACGATGATTAGCAACCGAGCTTACAATTGATTCGCGGTCAATATAGGCGTCGATGGTTCCTCAGCTTCCTTTCATCTCGCGGGACAAGGGTGATATCTCGCGTACGGACGACGTCGCGACGCGTCGACTTTCCGTCGATTGTAACACGCATGACGACAGAAGTGGCGCCGATCAGAAACGGGGACCGCGGACCAGTTACGGGTCTGCCCGTGCAGTTTGATAACGCGCTAAATGTGCACTTTCCGCGCGCGAGACCGTGTGTCCGCATCCGCAACCCTCCACCGGCTGCGCCAGTCGCACGTTGGCCGATGACGGACGCGCACGGGGTGAAAGTAAATGTGTCTCCGACCGGCGACACGTTACTCCGGGGTAAGTGTAATCCGAACTTCGGATTTAGTCATCCGGTTTGTCCAACGGAGTGGCCCGATCTCTCCGGACATTCCCGGGACGTCCTGTCGTTTTGGAAATTCCCGGGAGTGACAAACATTTCTCGTAATTTATTCTGCTTTCGAGTTAAGCGGATTGCAGAGATCCGCTTTTGCATTTTATTTCTCACCTTCAAACACAAAGCGATTACGAGAACAACACTGACTTTGACGCGAAATTACTTTGTGTTTTATGGAAATAGAAAGAGTATACTTCAACCACAAGAAATGAAACGAATCCATTATGCATTTCAAATCTTTTTACATGTACGAGATTATGTAATTTTTGAGGAATACATTTTCCGGATCTACGAAAGTCTGATTGCTTTCAAATATTTTCATGGGCATTTCAAAAACTTGAAAAATACAAGAATATGTTAAGTTTTATTTCATCAATAGTGTATCTTTTTATTATATTTATATTGTGACCTTTATAGAAATCCAATTTAATATACCGATCATATATTTTATGCTAAAAATGACCTATTTATTTATTATTATCATTTATTTATTATCATTTATTTATTAAAAACACTAAACAACAGTGATCTTATTAAAATAAATAAATAATCACTTCCATTATTAAATTTCTGTAAAGCAATATTATCATTTGGTATCCTTTCATTTTAATTCTAAAAAAATACATAGGCTGTTTTTAATCTCCGTGAAAAATTTCTTCTTCATTAATGTATAATTGAGAAATATAATCATAAATTTTTGTTGAATGTATACTGAGAAAAAAGTTAACTTGACTAAATGCGTTTAGTTCGTAATGAATATTTAGTTCAAATATTTAAATATTTAAGTTAAATATACCTGAGTCATGTCAACAAAATTTTGTAATTTAAAACATTTTACTTGTTTGAATTAATAAATATTTGCTTGACAGTCCGCTGCTTTTTAGTTGAATCAATTAATATCTTTTTTAATCAACAACTTTTTCTCAGTGTATCTTCTCTTTACAATGTGTTAAATTACTTTATTGTATTAAATTACTAATTAGGAAAAATTATTATTTGTTATCTTTTTATTTTAATTCTGAAATAAAGAAACATACAAACGATTTTTTTATAATCTTCATCAGAAATTTCTTCTTCATCAATTTCAATTTCAAAAGGTATAATTGAGAAATATAATCGTACTAAATTTTTGTTCCATGTAAATTTCCTTGCTATCTTCTATTTGCAGTATTCCTCAATTCTCCTTATATCAAAATTTAAAAATGCAAAGAGATCGGACCACCCGGTTCGTCAGACGACGCAGATACTATCGTATTCGATTTTTCACCCGCTGTCGGATACACCAGTTGCATTTCCGCGCATAATTCACGAGCGAAGATTATTCCTGTCTGATCGTAACACATAGCGCATATACAAGATATCGGAAAATCTTTCAGACATCGCAAAGAATATCGGCGCGAGCGTATTGGTGTCGATGAAGGAGACGGCGAACAACGCGGCGATATAATGGCATCCAGGAAGCCGACCAAGTACGACGATTCGTAAAATCACGAAGATGGAATTGCGAAAAGGCTCCTGGAAGATCGTGATTCTCGTGTGTGCGTTAGTCATCTACTTGTGGATGCTCTTCATCGATCACTCGCACGTGTTAACTGACATATCACAGAAGATCACACTGCAGAAAACGCGAGTTCCCTCAAGGACTGTCTTGTACCAAAGTTCTGATCGATCTAAGATTGAGGACGTACCTCCGGATGGTCGGACGGATTCGAAGAAATCGCAATTTCTCTCACCTCGAAACATGAGCGGTACGCTCGAGGGAGGTATATCGGAGTATCAGACACTTAAGCAACAAGGTCTGCTACCAAGCCGGCAATTACCGACCGCTCTGATAATCGGCGTGAAGAAAGGCGGAACGAGAGCCCTTTTAGAGTTCCTGAGATTACATCCCGCGATTCGCGCCGCTGGCTCCGAAGTTCATTTCTTCGATCATCATTACGTTAAAGGATTCCGTTGGTACAGGTGCGTGCGACAAATCGTTTCAACGATTGAAACGCAACGTAGCACTCATCCACTTAAAAGTTTCGTAATTGCAAACTTCCGAGATATATAAAGTTCCATTCTGTTTCTCCTAATTGTTTTTTACATTCAATTAATAATAATTTCTTTTAGTAAAAACAAAGATCTTTACTGAGATAAATGAATATAATATTTTAAAAGTAATTAATTGTAATTAAATAAATAATTTAATAATTTCTTTTTTTTTTTAATGTTGGTATATAAAAAACACAATAGTTTCAAATCTAAAACTAACCTCTTTAAAGAATTGAATTTACTTGTTCTTTTGCATGAGATATTCCTCGTTAATCTCATTGTCTTCTTTCATTGGAGATACTCTCTATAATATATTATAAATCTTTAGTCTTTAATAATGGGCGGTATTCGTAATCCGTTTTTATCTTAAGATCGTCTAAATAATGTTTTAAGATGCTAATACAGCTCTTTGGTTGGTTCATAACATCTTAAGTCGGTCTTAAAGATAAAATTCAACTATGAATACTAGCCAATGTCTTCAATTACATAATATGTTTCTAACAATTCTTAATAATAATCAGACGCAGAATGCCTCCAACTCTGATCGGTCAGATCACCATGGAGAAGACGCCATCATATTTCGTGACAAGCGAGGTGCCAAAAAGGGTGAAGCACATGAACCCAGGGATGAAGCTGATCGTTGTGGTGAGGGATCCCGTGACTCGGGCAATCTCCGATTACACACAGGTGAAGAGTAAGCGTCGCAAGATGCCACGCTTCGAAGATCTAGCCTTCCTTAACGGATCGAAGATCGTGGATACTTCTTGGATGCCTCTGAAGATTGGAGTCTACGTGCGGCACCTGGAACGATGGTTGCAGTACTTCCCGTTGTCGCAGTTTTTATTCGTATCCGGTGAACGTCTGATCGCCGACCCGGTGACGGAAGTCACTCGGGTGCAAGACTTCCTGGGTCTCAAGCGAGTGATATGCGAGAAACACTTCTATTTCAACGCTACTAAGGGCTTCCCTTGCTTGCTCAAGTCGGAGGATCGCGCAACGCCGCACTGTCTTGGTAGGATAGTTGAAAATCCGTCTCAAAAAGAATTTCCAGATCATATGGAAAAATAAATTCCTCCATGTGAAAGAATGGTTTTGCTGAAGTCTTTACAAATTTAATTAGACACAGATCTGAAAATAATTTTGTTGGATCGTTAAAATAATTATATAGGACACTCAAACTGATTGCTAGAATGTCGAAACTTTTTACAGTTTTTTTACAACTTATTGATTATTATGTTTGAGATTAACACGTAATTTAATTGATCCAACAAGATTATTTTCAGAACTTATCCAGCTACGTTTTTAGATACTTTAGCAAAATCGTTATTTCTATGTCAGGAAGCAGAATGCACATACTGCAACAATTATTTCGACATCAACTAAAAATAACATAATATCAAATATAATTATAATTTCACACTCAACAATATAAATGTAATAACATATAGTGTTACGTAAAAATTATATTGTTGAGACTGCGAAAATTAAAGTCATGTTACTTTTAATTAGTGTAATTGGTTTAATTGTTGACTGAGTTGTCATTAAAAATCTATTTTCGCAGAAATTATAAACAAAGTACGATTTAAGATCGTTGTCTTTCGTCGATTTTAAATGGTATAGTGAAAATGAAATTACTTGGTACTTCTTCAGAAATGAAGCTATATGTCAGTCTTTCTCATTAATTTTTAACAGTGAAATTTTTCATCGCTCAAAAATCACTAGAAACTTTTTACGGAATGTATTGTATTTGATTCACAATAAAATATCGCAAAAATATGTAATGTTCGATATAAGATTATTATCTTTCAGGAAAAAACAAGGGTCGTAGTCATCCCTACATCGACCCCATGGCAATTGGCGGGTATGGATTTCGGCTGGTACTAAAATACACGCGTATCGCATACATACATATCGTAAGCAGGAAAACGGAGTCAATTGTCGTCAAGTACTTGTTACGATATCTATTATCCTGAATATCCTGATAATCTGATAAGAATACATATTACAATCATATCAGAATGCGCCGTTAGTGCATATTAGTGTTTGAATAATTAAGACTTTTCCAAAATCTTGCTTTCGATGCTGTAGTAATTTAAATTTCATCTAATTTTAATATTTTTAAATTAAATTGTAAGAAAACATATTTTTTCTTTCTAATTTAATGTAGCGTTAAATTGAGATAACTAGAATTAATTTGTATTTTTCCAAATCTTGCTTCCAATAATGTAGTCATCAATTTCATAAGATTTTAATCTTCTAAAATTAAATTGCAAAATTAGAACATATATCTTTTCTAACTTTTTGTTATATAATTTAAATATATGTAGCATTAAATAATCTCTCTATAAGAACTCTCTAATAGAAATCAATGTTTTCTGTTTGTTATTTGTAACATAGATTAATTAATTAGATTAATTAGATTTGTAGTTTAGTAAATATTAGATTTGCCAAGAAATAGAAAGGAATGATTATCTGTTAAAATGATGAGCGCACAGTTACCGTCCGGAAGTTTGTTTACGAAAAGGAACCGTGACATATCTATATAATTATCCTATAATTCTTATAATTATCATAATAAGATTATAAAATAATGAGATTATATCTGAGATTCATATTAAAGATACTTCTATATGTATAATATATAGTTTCTTTAGGTCAACATCAAATTAGTTCTTTTTATCGAATAAAGTAAAATTAATTTAATATTGTCATACATGGTTGAATCGAATGCTAATATTAAAATATTTATCGATATTTTTCGTTATTATTATTTTTAACTTTTCATTTTTAATCTTGTAAGTTAACACGATAGTGCAATTATTAATGTATCTCTCTTTGTGTTTTGATAAATTTAAGCGAAATGTAACCACGAACGCGGTAACCATTATGCAACGAAAGGGCAAAGTGATTAAAAAAATTATCAGACAAAAATTTATTCGCGTTGGCCATATTGTAGGAAATGTATCTTAAAATTTTTGTAATTGTATTGTTTTAATTGTATCATCAAAATTTATAATTTTAATTAATTTTTAAGTAATTCATATATAATTAAAATGAACCTTTTTACAATGAAAATTTAATCTATTTTCATCTGCACATATAATATCACGTATTAGATCGTGGTTTATGTGCAAAACAATTTATAAATTTTATTATAATTTAAATTTTTATGTTTAAAAAATTTATATTTTATATTTAATTCGCACATGTAAAATTTTTTAATTTTTTTATACACCACGCTCAATAATCGCTTCGCCCTTATTAACAATCCAATTGTGCATTTGTCTTTAATGTAATGTATAGTATGACAATGACGAATAAGTATAGAAATAGCAACATTCGCTAGTTCCTAAGTATTAAAATCTAGTCAATACAATTAGCAAAGATATGCGTATTTATAGAACAGCTGGATAGAAGACCTCCGATATAATTAAATCACGAATTAGATTTAATTATGCAGAGTATAACGTGTTAAATTCGGGGATAAAAATAATGATAATATTTCATTAACGAGTACTGAGAAAATTTCACAAGACATGGATTTATTTCTAACTTTGCAAAATACTGAAATATGCTTATCTCCAATTCCTGCATTTCACGATATATTCTGTAAGTCAGCATTTATAAGATAAAACTAACAAGATTAGTATATTATGAAACAAATCCGAACACGAAGAAAAATTAATTTGAACGAAGAAGATAGGAAGTTAGCGAATTTATTATTCCGTAAGTTCTAGAAATTAGAGCGCAAGGTATACGTTAATATTTGTATGTAAGAAAGAATAACAATTAAGTAATGTACTTAATTCGATGACAGTCGGACGGCTATATATTTATTTAGTACGTAAGAATGAAAGTAGACAACATTTAGCGATACGATCAGTGCGAATGACGAATAATAATGTAATAGTGAAGCACAGTGCTTTTGCTCAAATTGTACTACAGGAGGCTGTCAACCTAATATAAGTATTTCATACATTGTTTTAAATATGTTTTGAATACAGGCTGTTTGACAAATAGAGCAAAATATGTACATAAATGTTATGCAAAATGTTTAAAAACCGCGATTCACCCATTGATAGATGCTATATAAATAGATTCGTGCCTTTTTGTAGCCGTTTTATTATAAATAGCACGCAATCGCTACGTAGTATCCGCTTGATTCCCAGTTAAATTTTCAATTCCTTTTCTTTTGTTGATGTTTCATTTTTGTGTCATTGAAGGTGATATTAATTTATGATTTGAAAATCATGAACATAATTTATGTTTTTTTAGAAGAATTTATTAAAAGAATATAATTTGTAAGAGAAATATCTAAGCATACAATACAAAATATAACGCAGATGGAAAATCTGTGTAGTAATAGTTATACATAAATGAATATTTTCAATATATAAATTCCCATATATTTTTCTACTTTTGCACTATAATAGAGGTTCAAAATGTAGAGATCCAAAATTAAATGAATATAAAAATGTATAATAACAAGGGTACTGTCTTTTTCAGACTACAAGATGAATTAGACTGCAAGGAATATTCATCGCCGCATCGTATTGAAACATTAAAAATCAGCATTATACCATAAATAATATCAGTATTCTAGATTCTTAATGATTCCATTGTAAAACGATGTAGTAAATCGTAAACATACTACGCACATAACTATTACTGCCATTGACGTCATTAATGTCACAGTAAGTAATTATTTTTATCTATTATTAGAGCAAATGATATTTCAGATGCAATACCGATATTTTCCAGCGGAATATTTTTTCTTTACAGGAAGCTCAATCCGAATCTATCTATAAAATTAAATTCATTCCTCGAGGCCTCAGAGATTCCTCCTGAATATCGAATATTCGGAGATTATTTATCTTCACTCAAACTCCCAATTATAAAAAGATTTACTAAACACAGTCTATTATTAATCTGTTTAAACAAGGGACGGAAGAATAGACTATAATTCTTCGCTCATTAATATCCTGTATTCTTGCTGGTCTTGAACCATTTTCTTGAATACGCGATATTTACGAAGGTGATATCTGAAATAATTGAAAGACATATGAAATATATGAAAAATTTTTTTAAATATATCTTTTTTAAATAAATATCAAATAATAATATAGAAACAATCACTTAATATTAATTAAGCTAATAATAATATAATAATGTTTTCTTTAAAGTTAATTCCATCAGAAATTTATAGAAAAATGCAATATTTTTTTAACTATTCTCCTATCTTATTAATCATTTGCTTACTTGTAACATTCGTTCGTTGGTTTCACTACGTTCGCCGATCCCGCCATTCTCTGAATAGTCTCATGTATAGAATATTTTCTCGTAGCACATGCTCCAAGGATCGCCGCGCCTACCAAAACCGATTCTCGCTCCACGGGGCAAAGTACCGGTAACGCCAACACATCGGCTTGTATTTGGATAAACAGTGGATTTTGACTGAGTCCACCGCAAACTAGTATACTCTCTATATTATGGCCGGCCGCCGATAAAACTTCAATTATATGCTTCGTACCGTACTGAAAATTAATATAACGTTAATTAGAAAATATATTATCTTATTGTGAATAAGATGATTTTATCTAATAAAAATCACTTCAGTGTTTAATTTTTAAGTATACTAATTTTAAAAAATACTCTTGTATTTTCACATATGAAATAGTGAAGACAACTCATTTAGATAAAACTTTGCACTATGGTTTTTAATGAATTAAAAGTATTTTTAATTTGCTCTTAACATACCGTTAGTGCCTGTACTGCTGCCAAGTATAATAACGCTAGATTTTCCTGATCCACAGATAAAGATAATCCAGATACCTAAGGTATAGATAAATAATATAATATAAAATTTTATATATTAGGTGTTGGAATTAATTCGTAGCGTTTTTATATCAATATAAGATTCAAAGAAAGAATATGTGTCTCAATACCATTCCTTTCAATGTTGGATCAGCGAGAGGCGAACGATTACCATGGAAATCCGGCCATACATGTATATCCTTAGTCAGATACGACACGTTCTGCAGATTCTTCTGCTCAGCCATAACGTGCAACAATTCGGACAAGTATTGTTGAATATGTCTGAAATAAATTCGTTTTCGTACATATTCGTTCACAGTCTTCTTTCGACGAACTCACTTATTGCCGCTCAAAGTCATCAGGATTCCCGGCGTCGCGGGGTGCGTATCAATGACGTGATCAAGCAGCTTTCCGGTAGCACTTTGCCCTCCCTCATTGAGCCAGAAACCGGGCACCATCGCACTATAGTATGGACCCCAAACACCATTTACAAATATCTTGTTCTCATTCACTACCATATGACAAGTTGAAGTGCCGCATATCAAAGCTAAAAATTACAATTTATATTATATTCTTTTCCTTTTTGGCTGAGCAATGCATATCGTAAGTATCTTGCGCACCCAATCGATTGGAGAAATTCGGGGACACATCTGACGCGTAACATCCAATCATTCCGAGACCACCGGCGTGTGCGTCAATTAGCGAGGTCCCAACTGGTGTTCCTTTCAATAATCCCAATTCTGCTGCAGCTTTTGTCGACAATCCGGATTCAATCGCATCACCAGGTACCCTTATATCGTTCCCTTAACATTAATATTAATCTTTATTAAGGTAAAATAAAAATTCAATCATAAAATTCTCGTGTCTTATATATTCAAAATAAAATAAAACATCATGATCGCGTTTAATAAAATGTTTATTTTAAAGTTATTGGAAGTTTTCTTCGAATTGATTGGATTATACTTTTAAATCTAGAGAAATAGTTCTATTTCAACAAACAAAATCTTCAAGTTGCAAAATAAACATTCTGCTGAACACGATTTTTGTTTCACAATATCGAAATTAACTGAATAGTTTACAATTTGAATGATTTATTAATATACCTATTTTTCTCCAATTATCTTTTTTCAGGTCTCGTAAATTGAGCTGTTCAAAGAAATCCTCGTCCCATCCGTTCTTACCAGTAGGATTAGCGCTATAATTCCACTTACACACTAAAGAACACAATGATCTGAAACAAAAATGAAAGATTTAACTTCTCTGCTTGCTTTTTCATTTACTAAAGAATTTAAGCATTGAGGATTCATACCGGGATTCCGATTCAGTGGCTTTCCACGTTAAGAAGTCTGGTAAATCAAACAGTAGCGCGGCAGAATTCCAGGAGGCAGGCAAATTCTTTTTGAGCCACAGCATCTTAGGTGTTTGCATCTCGAGAGAAACTTTGCCACCTACATATTGCAATACATCGTGACCCATAGAATTAATAAAGTCAGCTTCCTCGTGTGCTCTGTGATCCATCCACAGTATGACATTTTGTTTCTCTTGTCCTGAATAATTAATACATTAATTTTCTATCACAATAATATTATATTATTACTGTTACGTGAATTCGACACAAAGTTGAAATAAGAAAGAAATAGCCAGTGTCCTTTCTTTGTACCTGTAGGACTAACTGTTATTGGTAAACCTGCTTCATCTACAACCACCATTGAGCAAGTAGCATCGAATCCAATCCCTTTAACATCTTCTGCAGAGATATCAGCAACAACTGACTGAAATAAAATTATAATCTCAAATCTGATATTAAACCGGTATAACTATATGTGCTGTTGCAAAAATCTAATTTTACCTTAACAACGTGGCACACGGCACTCCAAATATTATCAGATGATTGTTCATAAAAGTTTGGTGCAGGATGAAATATCTCGAGTGGACATGTAGCCACCTTCTTTATCTTCCCACTCAAAGTAACCAGAGCCGCTCGGACACTTCCTGTCCCCACGTCCACACCTACGAAGAAATCCATGTTCATCGCAGCTGTAGACAGCATCTGCAATCTCGCGTTGAGCAGAATCGACTAAATACTTCGTATCCAGCTTAGGCATGAACTGTAAAGAGGAAACGACTATTAACCAATCATAATGCAAGTGTTAATCATCAACATATATTTTTAAGATGACATGACCCTGAGATAACATTAATTACGAAGTAAAGAGAGATATGGAGTAAATAAAGACTTCAAATAGTATAGTGTTATCAGCTAACGTTTCTTTAATTCAACAGTATACACACAAATACTACATTGGTGAACACAAGTAGAATATGATTTACTTGCTTCTTGTGGTTCATTGGCAGCTACAGAATAGCTTTTAATAGCAATTAGCAAAACGTATACATGCGACATATGGTGTAATTAACACTTCAAATCACAGAATATCTCAGGAGCAAAATTATTAAGCAAAACTATTGCATTGTTTGCAACATAATTATTTGAAGTTCAGAGGCATGTAAGAAT